GAGCTAACCCACCCATCCGACTTTCTGAGCCAAACCCTGAAGACTTTCTCAGAACCCCCAAGCAGCTCAGGACTAGAGCTGGAAAAACAAAACCAAGGTCTGCCCGAGCTAGACGTGAGACGCTGAAGCAGCTACGGACTCTGCTGATAAACTCTTCTCCAGAACCAACAGAAACTCCCCCAAGGAGAATAACTCAAGAACCTTCAAGGTACTATCTGAGCTCACTTGAAAAAACAAACCCTGCCAGCAGTTCATAACAGTTCTGTCTCTCACGCAGACTCCAGTGAAACCAGGACCCAGGCCCGAACCAGATTCCAGTACATTCTGTGTTTGTGCTTTAATAAACTGTTAAACTTTTATCCTCGTGTCCACCTTGTGGTGTTCTGCATAACTGGGTCTCCATTTGAGAACCCATCATGACAATTATATGAATATTTTTCAAAAATATGTTGAGGTGCATGATGGGTTTTTGCATCTTGAAGAACTGACTGACTGCCTCTATATTGTATTGTTTTATGTTGGTGCTTTTACAAAACTCAGGCTTACGTTGTAGACCTAGTATGTGTGAGTGGGTGTCTGGCTGGCTTCATGCAAATGTGGACTTTACACAGCAGCAGTCACTGTCGGGTCCGTGTTAATAAGTAAAGCCAGTAAAATCACATTATACAAGTCTTGGTGATGGTTGTCTTGTGATGCTTGAAGATAGATGGGTTAATCCACAATGTGTATTCGTATTGTTTTTCTTTTTTTTCGGGGGACAGGGGCAGATAGTGGGCCGGTGTACAAGGAAACTCTGCCCAACTCTGCTCTCAATGATCTAATTAGTTGAATCAGGTGTGTTTAACCAAATGCATATTTAAAAGTTGCAGGCTACTGGCACTCAGAAACCAGAATTGCCCACCCCTGCTCTAGACACTACCTTCAGCCAGCTGCTGCCTCTTCCTGCTCTGTCTCACTGACTTGTTTCTCCGATGTAAAGCTGTCCTCCTCTCAGCCAGCCCCTCTTCCGCCTTGATAGCTCTTTCTACCCAGCGGACTTATACGATCTTCAGCTCTACTGCTTTGATCCTCCACAGTTAACTTCTATAACTTGCCTAATTCAGCAAGCACAGGAGAAAAATGCATGTCAGAGAAAAACTAATCAAAAATGCAAGCGGCTACTGCAAGATATTGGTCGTCTTCATGTTAAGCGGGAACAGGCAGGCTCAGTTGTTGAGAGGCAGAACAGGTCAGGACCAGATAATCAGAAACAATAATATCAGCTAGAAAACTCACCAAGGGCTCAAATAATGTGGCACTGATGAGAGGAAGAAGGCAGGTTAAATAGAGACTGGTGTAGGTGAAACAGATGAGTGGTAACAAGAAACTGGGCGGAGCTAGGCAGGTGAATGGAATGTGCAATCAAGCCTGTCATCAGCACCATGATCATGACAATTATTGTGATAGTTATAATGATCTAATTGGTCATAATCAAATACTGTGAGCAGGACAGGTACACAAAGAGAATGGACTAAACTACAGTGTGTGTGTGTGTGTGTGTGTGTGTGTGTGTGCGTGTGTGCGTGTGTGTGTGTGTGTGTGTGTGGGTGGGGGGGGGGGTGTTGATTCAGGCATGAGTAATTGCAATGTAACTAGAGACAGTAAAAAGGAGACCTCGAGAATACACTTTTGCTCTGTTTCACACCTCAAATAAGATGTATGCGTACAAGAGAAGTTACAGAAATGGCATATAATTTACAAGCCAGTGCATGTCTAATATAAGTTCAAACTCAGTAAAAGAAAAAGACCGGTCAGCAAGGAATAATCAATGGATCATTGTCTATACCTAAAATTCCTGGTGATTTAATGAATTTAGCCTTAATCAGTACAAAATATAAAAATGATCATTTCGAATCGGCGCTCCACTGATAATGGCTTCTCCTACTTGTTACACACGTGATAAACTCTGAGACGTTCTACTTGGACTTGATTGAACTAATTTATAGCAGCCATTGTGAAACCAAAAACTCAGAGTTTAGGCTAGATCAATTTAGAGTTTAGGATTTCAATAAGAGTTTTTTAAACCTGCTTCATGAAATGGAACCCAGTGTTGCAGTTCCAACACTGTAAAAATGGCGGTGTTGTTAGACATTTTTGTCCGTTTGTCTCCTCATCTAAGTCATAAAGAAATTTGTTGAAATGCTAAAAAATTGACTAAATAATTATAATCCAATGCAGCATTGGAGGATTTCAGATGCGAAGACTTCTGATAACTTTCCAAGAACCTCTAAACCACCAAAAAATAACTAAAAACTTCCATTATATAGAGCACATTTAGTCCAAAATTGGATATGGCAGACCATACAGCAACATAAATCCAACACAGGTTAGAGGCACTGCAGATGTCTTCCAAACTTCTGCTAGGAATTGTCCAGTGATCCTTTTTCAAAAATTTAGACCAAGTCCAGTGTGATGCATTCAACCCAAAAGGAAAACATCCTTCAGTTGGTCCTGCTTCGATTCCGTTTGTAAACAAAAAAGATCAATGACAATAACAGAGCAACAACAACTATTACAACTATAATGTATGGCCAGATGCTTGCTAAAAAAAAAGAAGAGAAAAAAGAAAAACTCATTATTAATCAGAAAATTCAATATGCACAAACAGACCATATAAGCTTCCTTCTTTAGGTAATGAGGGTTAAAGGTAAATAACAGCTGTAAAAAATAATTTGGCTGATTTCCTAGAAATACAATGAAGCTGAGCATAAATCAGAATGAACTATAAATGCCAGGTTCATATACATCAAAATGCGATTGGACTTCAGTTTTCTGTACCTCAACAGTACAACAGAAAAACAATCACAAAAAGTAAAATATAACTCTTAAAGTAAAAACAGATTACAAATACGATACTGGTAATATGTTATAATGTGCAATTTCTATTATAAATAAATAGAGAGAGAATCCTCACCTTTGACTTGTACATTAAATTTTACGTGGATAGTTTTCAGTTTGCTGCTAACAGTGCAGACATACTGTCCTTCATCCTGATAATCCACTGACTGAACGATGAGACTGGTCCCACTGCTGTAACCCTTATTGGACGGCAACGTCCAGCGGTACGAAGGTTCAGGGTTGCCCTCGGCCAAGCAGGTCAGATTGAGATTGTTTCCTCTTGTGATGGTGATTGGAGGTGGATCAGCTGAAACCTTCAGCTCAGGCCCATCTGTGTATGCAGCAAAGAGGGAAACAATATGCAAATACTATAGAACATACACTACACCTCATTCTATACATTTCAAAGGGCATCTCAGACTTCATGATGGACTTAATTTCATATATAAAATTATTTCTAAACAAGGAATTAAATTAAATGGAAACTAAGCAAGTAGTTAAATACTACTAATATGTTGTTAATTTGTCGCTGTTAATTGCTGTTAGTTGCTCTGCACCTTAGCCCTTCATCTAATATTTATCTGCAGGGGCTAAATAGTAATAGTAAAAGTAATGAGTCACAATGACTTTGTCTCGTACCATACCCAAACTTCATAATTGATACAAAATACCAACTTGAATAAAAAAGACAGATTTAATATGTACAAACACCCAAAAATTGTTTGTAAGTTTTTTTTCTTGAAAAAGATTTATTTGTTTCTAAACTATCATGTATTCAATTTAGTGAAATAAGTTCCTGAAATAAGTGAACCTGTCAGTAAAGTCCCAAACCTAAAGTAATTGAGGAGTTATATAAACTCACAGTGAACTGTAGCAGTGAGATAGTTTGATTTCACCACTGGAGGAGGCTGTGGTCCTTCAGGTCCCAATTCCAGCTTTGCGTCACACCAGAACTGGGCTCCATTATCTTCTTTACTGGTGTTAAAATTCCAAGTAAAGAGCTTATTTACTGGGGTTTTTTGGGTACTGTCGCCATGCATGGTACCCAGCTGTGTATTTCCTTTGTAAAAGGTCACAACTAGGTTTTGAATGGGAGCTACCTTCTGTACAGAGCACTGCAGGATGTACTCTGTATGCTCGGTCAGAGGTCCACTTTGATTTAAGCTGATGGAAACACTTTGTGGAGGCTCTAGAAAGATATTCAAAGAAATGATATGTGAATAATGATTGAAAGAATACTAATACTTGTCATCAGTAATATATATATATATATATCTTTCAGACATAGAAAATGTGACAATGAATTATATGTACTTACGGTACACAGTAACAGATAGGGCGCTGCAACACTGTTTATCATTCTTGTCAGTATAGTAGCACTTTGGGTCACTGTCCCATAACCTAAGATGGTCTACAGTCCAATTCACTGTGGTTCCATTTGTTGAGCGTTCTCCCACAGGTACTTCCATGTCAATAACGCTCTCATTAACAGGAAGACAGTCCTTTTGACACGCCACACATGTGGCAGAGGCTGGATCACCGTACTTTACCACCAGTCTAGATGGAGTCAACACAGGTTTATCTGGACAGTTGGCACCTGAAAGAAACAGATAGGATTCTAGTGTAGCAAGTAGGCATGTTTGTATTTTACCTCCACCAAGGACGTTATGTTTTTTCAATTTTTTCAATTAACATCATAATCTGGATGCAGAAAATTGCTTTAAGGATTTTTGTTAATAATATTTGGCAGAAGGATAAGTCCCCCCTACAGCAGAGGGTGGCAGCAATGACTATAGACAGCTTCAGTATCAGACTCAAAGAAGTCCAGAAACATTGTACTGAAAACAAAAAAGGTGAGCCATGCCTCGCTCGAATCCTTGATCTGCTGATCAACAAAAAATGGGAAGTGCACAGGGGATGAAGAAGGGGAGAGAAGAACAAAAACCAGGAGCTGCCTTATTTATAAGCTTACGGAAGGTGCACGTCAAGCCAAAGAAAAAATTCATTCAAATTTGGTAAGGATCCAGATCATGTGCGAGTTTAAGCTATAGGTGTAAGTCAGAAAATGGGGCAAAATGTTCTGCTTGGCAGAGGTCTGTTCTCTCCGGGTGTTTTTCCAGCTTCTATTACATCTGTTAGATATTTACTTTCAGAAAAACATTAGATGGTTTCATGAATCTTGGTTTAGCTCCATTCATGGTAATTAGTCTCCTCAGTTTCCTTGATAACACAATGAAAGATAATTCTAAAAACCTTATAAATCTAACTAACTTCTAAGGAACAGCAGGTGGGACAGGTCACAGAGGCCTCCACCTCTCACTGTTGCCCAGTCCCCTTAGCACCTGTGGTGGAAAGTTTTAATCTATGAATATTTTCACCGTTTTAATAAAGATGTTTTGCATTGTCCATATTTTGTCTTAAAAGGAGGAGCATTTTGTCTTTTAGCATCTTTCTAAATCTTTCCCTACTGATCGTGTTTAGGAGTTGGAGTCAGAGAAGGTTTACAGTCTGGTTCAACAGAGGCTACACTCTCTTCTTCTCCAGAGTTGGAGTTGGTATTTGTTGGATTAATTGTACAAGTTATTCTACTTTAATCATATTACTTTAATCATATTATTATGCTTACACACTGGGATCATATTATTATGCTCACACATTTTGTTATCCTTATTTTACTTATATCATAAAGAGTGTTGAAGTATTTTACTTGCTTGTTCTGTACTAATGTTTTAAGTCTGTGCAGAAGGAGTGCTGATTGTGAGAGCTGGCTGCTCAAGGTCAGACGGTTCAAGGAGAGAACACGGGGAAATGCACGCACTAACACCGGAGAAAGGAGTGAAAGCTCTCCTTATCTTATGATGTTGTTATACAGAAATTCTGGTTCCGACTGGCTTCACCCTTCCCCCTCCCCTTTAGCAGTCGGAACCACATTGTAGCCAGGGCATTTCCTTAATAAAGGCTTGTGAGGGCAGAGCTGTTTCAGAGTGTTTTGGAGAATTGTAACTGAACAGTCTCTGATCACTCTCCTTGCAAGTAAATCATACTAAAATTCTCTGTGTCTTTCTTTGTACAGGTTACTGAATAAAATGTTTGGTGTTTAAACCTAACAGTATGCTTGTCTGACCCAGCTACCTCAGTCCGCTATAAAAACCTGAAAAAGGACAGACAAAAAATGCATCTACATAGACTACCAACCAATTTTTCTTGTTGTTCCTTTTTGAATGAGAGAAACCCATATTTTTCTCCTTTCAACACTGACATGTTTATTGTAGTTTTCTTCAACTTCCTCCTCGAACTCCACCCTAAACTCTGCAGACTAGATTTAGAACCTGTTATCATATACCAACACATGATATGGAAATAAGTATAAGCCATCAGCCCAATTTCTGTTAAATACACGCCTAACACATTTGGCTTTGTGAGAAGCAGTATTGTTTTCGTCAACAATGAGGATGACAAAATAATTTCATTAACAGTCTTTTTTTCATGACAATAACAAAAACTGACAAGCTAAACATGGATGTTTGATGACTAAAACATGACAAGTCATAGGTTTGAGATTTCATCAACAAGACGTGACAAGACTGAATAAAAATTAGCGCGTAGTCGTTCAGACGTTTAAAATGCATCATTGTGCTGTAATCTGCTAAGCAGTATCAGCCATGCAGCTGTGTCCTGCTTGATCCTGCCGCCCACCTGCCGTGCAGCGTTGCACATGCTGCAGGATCACAGATGGATCATGGCAGCAGCAGCAGGGTCTGAGAAATTAACCTGGAATGATCCGGTATTGCTGGTTCAGCTCTGACAAACTCTGCTCTGATCTTCCCTCTGTACTTGTGCAGAAATGCTTCTTTGTGCGCGGAGCTCCGAGTCTCCGCTTCACGTTCCACACTAATGGTTCGCTCTCAGCAGTATGGCTCTTCCATCGCTACTTAATAAACTATGTGGCTGATCATCCTCTGCCAAACGTAAAAAATCCCTTTGTCTAACTATCAATATTTAATTTTTTCCATTTCACAAGAGGTGATAGTAAACATTCATTAACATATACCAAAAGGATTCCCTAAATTATATCCAAATAAAATATTTTATTGCATTCTGTTTATTTTTTTTATAAAGAGCCAGGTGAAACGTACATAGACCTTTGATCTCTCTCATAGTTCTTGTTTCTATCTATTTAAATAAGATGTAAATTTTTCCTTGTATTGTCATTGAAACATTTTTTCTGTTTCCTTTGAATATTTAAACTATTTAATTAGCATATTCCTTCAATTTAGGTCTGGATTGGCATGGCATTACAAGGCAATCACGTAGGTTCTCTCTGTATTTTTAGGTGAATTTAAATGATGCCAGTTTCATCATGTCCCATCAGATTCAAAAAACTTTATTTTTAGCCTGAAAAGGTCACCAAACAGGTGGTAAAAAAAAAAAAACAGTATTTCAACAAATTTGCAGTAAATTGTAAAAAATAAAATAAAAAAAAATGCCGCCATAAAAGACAACACTATACATTTATTCATACAGTACAATGCATGGATTTAGGGCTAAGTAGTTACCTTATTGTTTTATTAAAGTCCTCTATACATAAACAATCTATTATTTTCTTTTAGTAAATAAAAAAGGATCTTTTTAGATATAGATTTCTTCCAATTCCACTTTTTAATGTAGGTTATATAAATGTTATTCAACAGGCTACTGCTGTGTTACACTAACCGAGATATTTTCAGTCCTAGTTCTCAAGCAACACTCGACTGATGTTTTTGGGAATAGAGCTGAAATAAAGAAATGACCGAGAGATAAGAGATAGAGATTGTAACTCAAAGTGAGAGTAAGCAACAATATTTTTGGAAATATTGCAGTAATCTATTATAAAGTAACAAAACAAGTAAGTCATCAGGAATAGCAGGACCACGATTAAGTTACATCCAATAATAAATATGTAGAATCTATTTGCAAAGATGTGCTAAGTGTGAAATTAAAAGAATAGTTGAGAAACCTTCTTAGATTAAGGGTCTTCCTGAAAAAGGTTATCTTGAACTTTTTACCTCAGCAAAAGCGGAAGAGAAAATCCCCGATTAGGGGCTGAAAACTCACCACATGCAGATGCATGGAAACACTGCAGAATAATCAAAAAAGAAGTCACCAGAAATATGCAGCTGGAAAACATGTTGATGTTTTTCTATTAAATGAATTTGAGATTTCAGATAACAAAAAATAGCCCTAAGTAGACAGTGTTAAGCTGAGGAGCTGACCTGAAACTAAACAGCTTCAGCTCCCTCAGATAAAAACAGGAAATGAAGAGGGGAAGCACTCTGTAAAAAAATTGTGGCAATGTGGTACAGTAAATGTGTGTTTGAAAGAAAACGGAATTGAAACTGAAATTCTGGGCTGTAGGCTATTTCAAAAGCACATAGTCTCTGATCATATATTCTAAGAAACCCTTTTAATTGCAGCAATGGTGAAAGCCTGACCTGAATCCCAATATTCAATCTCATAGCAGATGCCTAATGAAACAGAAACTGATTTTTTTTTTAATGTTTTTATCCAGATTGTGTATCAGAAATGCATTAAACAAGACAAGAAACATAGGTGGAACTAAACTTTATTTGAATAGTGTCCATATTGACATTTTGATTAATACTGTTGCATAAAACAGTGATTTCCAAAAGTGATATTAAATGGCGCAACCTGGAGCTAGTTAACAGTTACCTTTTGCAGCTTTGCCACTTTCTTTACGTCTAGTCCTATCTCCTTGAACCCTTGTTGGCCTCAGTAGATGGCCCTTCACACTGAGCTTGGTTCTGTTGGAAGTTCCTTCCTGTTTTCCTCTCCACTGTCGCTACAAGCATGCTTGGTGTGAGGGATTGCTTTCTGAGTCAATGAGTCTTTGCAATCAGCTGGTTTTCCTTTGGTAGAAAACTTTGAATCAATTTGATTGTATGATCTGGTTGAATTGTCTCTGTAAAGTGCCTTGAGATCACATGTGTTGTGAATTGGCACCTTATAAAATAAACTGAAGTGGAATTGATGGCGAGCTGGAAGGGGGTGCCTCTCATTGTATCAGATGGGGAAGAGGAAGTTAACTTATCACAGACTTGGGATGTGACGCCAGAGAGATGGGCTGCCTTATAAAGTATCATCATTCAATTTCACAAAAGTCGTTATAGCCTTTTTTGGTTTTGAAGCAAGGGCGACCAGATATCCTGTGTTGCACTGGAATGTGTCACTTTCTTCACTTTTGTCCCACAAATTGAATTAACCTCCTGCATGTGACTGGGTCCAAACTAGAAAAAAAGTTACAAATAAATAAATAAAAATATTCCTAAATCCAAAGAAAGCAGAGCGGCAGTCATTGTCACAGAGCTGTGCCAGTGACACGTGTCATGAGCAACTAGCACACAACGCTCTTTAAACGGAACAGGTAAAGGATTTACTACAAAATATGTTAACGTTTGAAAGATAAAAAATCGAAGCCACAAAAAAATAAATGATTGGATTTTGAATTGGTGAGGCTGCTGCAAGGTGATTCACAGAGATTATTTAGTGATTTGATATCAGGGGAGTAGAGTGTAAAGCAACACTGTAAAA